TAAGAAATACAATATTAAAATAAATAATTCAAAATATAAAAAAAGAAAAAAGAAGCTGGACATGGTGGCACATGTCTTTAATCCTACCACTTGGGGCAGAGGCGGTAGATCTCTGTGAGTGAAAAGTCAGGCTAGTCTACACAGTGAGTTCTAGGCCAGCCAGGGCTACATAGTTAGACTCTGTGTTGTCCTCCCTGGCCCCCCAAAAAGGGCCTGGAGAGCTGGCTCAGGGGTTAAAAGCACTGGCTGCTCTTCCAGGGGACCTGGGTTTGATTCTCGGCATGTATATGGTGGCTAACAACTGTCTATAATTCTATATCCAGGGAACACCCTCTTCTGACCTCCACAGTCATTGCATGCATGGATGCGCTTACATACACGCAGGCAAACATTCATACACATAAAATAAAAAATAAGAATTAAAGAGGACTGGAGAGCAGGCTCAGGGGTTAAGAGCACTGGCTGTTCTTCCAGAGGACTTGGGTTTGATTCTCGGCATGTATATAGTGGCTAACAACTGTCTGTAATTCTATAGCTAGGAAATATCCTCTTCTGACCTCCACAGTCATTGCATGCATTGGTGCACTAAAATACATGCAGGCAAACATTCATACACATAAAATAAAAAATAAGAATTAAAGGGGACTGAAGAGGTGGCCCAGCAGTTAAGAGCACTGGCTATTCTTGTAGAGTTCCCAGCACCCACACAGTGGCTAACAACCATCAGTAACTCCAGTTCTAGGGGATCCAACACCCTCTTCTGGCCTCTATGGGAACTGCACACATGTGGTACACTTAACATTTATATGCAGGCAAAGCACTCATACACATAAAATAAACATAATATTGTTTTTTAAAAAAGAAGCTGCCTTTAAGTCCAGCACTTGGGAGGCAGAGGCAGGTGGATCTCTGTGAGTACAAAGCCTGGTCTACATAGCAAGTTCCAGGCCAGCCAGGGCTACATAGTGAGACCCTATCTTAGAAAACAAAGCAACACAAAATGAAAAAAAAAAAAAGGGAAAAAAAATGAAAAGTTTAACCATATTAACATTCCTCTTTCATTCCCAAATCTACCAACTGGGTCTGAAGAGAATCTAGGATTTCCCTGCATCCAGGAATCTCCAACACATTGAAGCTAGAACAAACAGCCTTTTCTTCTTGGGTTTCTTCCTGATCACTCCAGATTCTTTCAGGAAGGAAATTAATACCATATCTAAGAGAGACAATCACAGCTTTTTTTTTTTAAAGTTTACCTTGCTAACCAAGATGATTTGTGGGTACTTGTTCTTGCTAGTCAAGAAACTTAGTTCCCATTGACTAAGGTAACTCTAGAATTGGAAAGAGCATACTCCCACAATTACTTGGGAGCTTTCAGGCCTTGGTTCTCACTGACAAAGCAACTCCAAAATTGAGTAGTGCAGGCTGCTGCTGATTCCCAGACACTCTGAAACTTAGCTCCTACCACTACACTAACTTCCATTTCCCAGTCCTTTGACTTTTACGCCCTTTTGATGCTTAATGATTTGTCTCTCGGATATATTCTCCATAACTGGGACAAACCTGTTCCCAAGCCTAAAAGGAAAGACATTATGCCATATCACCAGGCAGTCTAAGTCAGTTGGTGGAGAAAATGACCAGTAACTGGCAATTTAAGCTTCATTACCACCCTCACCCCACCCTCCTATTAGATCTATTTTGTAAATAGCAAAAACCTATTAGAGTCTGGTGTGGTACTGCATGCCTTTAATGCCTGCAGAAGCAGGCAGATCTCTGTGAGACTGAAGCCAGCCTGGTCTACACAGTGATTTCCAGGCCAACTGGGACTACAGGGAGACCCCCGTCTCAAAAAAAAAAAATTATCTCACAACTCACGCGCGCGCGCACGCGCGCGCACACACACACACACACACACACACACACACGCACGCACACACGCGAACACGCCCCTCACCACATTCAAGCAAAAAAAGACAGATGTAGCAGTCACTCATGGCTCAGATTATCAATGACTTGAAAGCATTAAAGTCTATCCTACGAGGATAAGTTAAGGTGTCATATACTTTCATACATTCATGTATATATATGTACACATATATTCATATAGTCTCATGTTTTTCACTGTGTTTTGTTTTGAGACAGAGTCTCACTATGTAGCCCAGGCTCACTATGTAGCCTAGGCTGACCTGGAGTTTGCAGCTGGTAGAACCCCACTGGCTCTCTTGCTTGTTGCACGAGTAAGTCTAAAGCCATTCCTTCCTCAGAACTGGCCCCCACCTCAGATCTACTCCAAATCTCGTCTTAGAACCCTGTTCCCTCAACTGTTTCCTGCCTCAGAACCACTTAGACCCACTCAATCCTCAGACTGCTGCAGCCCATGTCCCTTCCCTTGGGCCCTCATTTCTTCCCTCAGGCCCTCATCTCCTCCCCTACTCCCAGCCTAAAATACTACTTTCTTCTCTCAAACTGTCACTTCTACCCTCAGGCCCCCTCCAAATCTCCTCTGGCCTCAGTTCTTTCCTCCTAGGTAATTGCTTCTTCCTACTTGGTCCCCAGACTTCTGTAGACTGTGTCCCTTCCCTCAGACCCTCATTTCCTTCCTCAGACCTGCAGCTTATCCATCAAATCCTCAACTGCTCTCTGAGGACCTCACCTCCTCCCATAAGCTCCAGCCTACTCCCTGAGGCCCTCATTTCCTCAGTCACAGCCTGTCTTCTTCCCTTTTATCCTTCAGGCCTGCCTTCCTCCCACAGATCCTCTTCCCTCAAACAATACAGTCCTTCCACTATCCTAAGAGACAGGAAAATCAGTACTATTTCTCACGTCCTTCTGAGGCCACACTAAGCCTACGCGGGAAGACACAGGCTTCTGTAACCTTGTAAGGGCCAAGACACGGCCCCACCTGCCCCACTGTGGCAAGCAGTTAAGAGTCACCCCTTAAGCCCATCCTCTGGCCTTGGCTTCACCTTCTTGTACTTTCTGAACAATGGACAAAGCTCTCATCTCACACCTCTCTTGGGTTTCAGGGTATAGAGGGGAAGGTTGGTAGGCTCTAAAGCAGCTCCAGGCCTTTGTGAGGCAATTCTTTACCCTTGCCTGGCTGTGGCCCCACCACACTGGAAGGCAGAAGTTGACTGAAGAACAAAATGAGTCTCAAAAGAGGGTATTCGTTTCTCTGACATCTCACAGCAAGGAGGTAACTGGGAATGAAACCCAAGACCATGCATATCACTTAAGCACTGGACTATACCCTTTTGTTTTATTGTTTTTGTTTTTGAGACAACGTCTCACTGACTTGCTGAATTTGGCCTCAAATAGCTTAGGCAGCCAAGAATGGTCTCAAACTTTTGATATTCCTTCCTGCCTCAGTCCCCTCAGTAGCCAAGATCACAGGTCTATACTATCTAGTTTGAAGGATAGATGTGAGCCAAGGTCTAGACCTCTTCCCTTGATTTACCCTAACAAGGCACTGAGTGGGAAATCCAGAAAGGGAAGGAGATGGGAAGGGGTCGAGGCCTCAGTGCACAGTGGATCCTGGAATCCTGCATCTCAGGTTATCTACCTAGCTGGGGGCTGGCCAAAGTCTCTTTCCAGACCAGGCCTTCACATGCAATTTCAGGGTGTTAGTGACACAGAGACAGAGATAGGGAAAGAAAAAGGTACAGAGGGTTAGGGTTGGTCACTCACATCCATAAATTTTGACACTTAGGAGTCTGAAGCAGGAGGATTTTCATAAGCTTGAGGCTAACCTTGGCTACATACTAAGGCCCTGTCTGAAAGCAACAACAACAAAACAAAGAAAAGGAAAGAGGCAAAGACTAGAGGGGCATATTTGCAGAGACAAAGGGAACTCTGCATTTTCCATGGCAGGTTTGGGGTACAGCCCTCTGAATCTCCAGAGCTTCCCACTCTGCCCCATGTGATTCAGTTATCAGTTCTCAACTCTGAAAGAATCACACGAACCAGGGACAGTGGGCCTCAGGGCAGAGACAGAAGAACCCTTTGTTCAGCTCCTGAGCATCTGCTTCATGTCTCCAAGCTCCATGGCTTGTTCCTTTCCCCCAGGTAGAAGGGGACGTGAGGGACAAGGAGTCAAAACGTACCTCTTCTTGGAAGCTTAGGAGCCTTGGGCCCTAACTGTGGCCTGCTGGCCTGTCTCTCACCGTACCTCCTGTCTCTAAGTCTCTTCAGCTATGTGCATCTAGGATTCCCTGGGTATCATCTTATGCTTCAAGGGCTCAGGCTGGGTGTATGAACCTCATAAACAGAAACATATTCAGCCCTTCTGTGTAACTCTTACCTCAAGGCCTGCTGTTGGGAGGCACATCCAAGAGGCCGAGGTAGGGCCTGGGAGGCAAAAGGGTTACTAGGATCCTGCCTGCCATGTGCCAGTGACTGCACTCCTTTTCATTGCTTTCCAGGGAGCAGATGGCCATCATTATTCAGGCTGACAAAAGTCTAAATTCAGCTTCCTAAGCCACTCCACACTATGGCTGAAGTCTCCATCTCCTGCTGCCCCATGTCCAATATTCAACCCCGTGCCCAATACTGAGATATGGCAGAGCACCCCCTGCAAGCAGCCAGAGCGCATTGCCACCAATGTTTCCAGCAGCCCTGAAGCCTCTCTGGACCACTGACTGGTAGCTCAAACACACTGGCAGTAGTCCATCCCCATGACAGCCTGGTCAGGTCAGGGTGAGATGCCTCCAGAGGGTTAGAGCCAAATGTGGGCTACCTAAGTTCATCAGAAGGCAGAGAGAGGGCTCAGAACACAAATAGATTGGGTTCTGGGTATCTAGGAGACAGAATGAAACATGATGTCACAGTCACAGATATGAGATCATCTAGACAACAGGTTTGCCATGGAAACCAAATATGAAGGTCCTAGGAACTGGGGATTAAAATCCAGTAGCCAAGTGGCACAGAAAATGGTAACCTAAGGGACAGTATATGGGGCTTACAGATTCCCTCCCCTGGATCTGGAAGGCGGACCACAAACTCACCATTTCCAGTTTCCAGAGAAGGGGTGTCTTCCTTGGATCTCCTCACAGCAGTGGGTCACAAAGATTCCCAGAGAAGTTCACGTTACATCTGGAAAGGGAGCAAGGCCAAACTCACAGGTTGTATCTGGTGTTTCAGATTGGTTCATCACAACTTTAACATTCTTATTTGAGATACTGCTATACAGAGAGAGTATTCCCTATACTTCACAACAAGCGTTTCTAATTATGTTGGAATTCTTGACTCAGCTGACAAGAGACTTTCAGCAGACTCCAGAGTCAGGGGCTTCTTTTCCATCCCATGTCCCCTCAGTATTTCTCTTCTTTCTTCCCTGCCTCAGTCTTTCCATAAGGCCGTGCTTTCACTCTTTGTATCTCCCCAAATCTTTCCCCACTTCAGAACAGGTCTCCACCCTCAGAGTCCCTCCAAATCTTCTCTTCTGGGGTTGGAGAGATGGCTCAGCATTTAACAGCACTGGTTGCTCTTGCAGAGGACCTGGGTTCAATTCCCAGCACCCACAAGTGCACCCGTGTCATTACAGCTAAAACTGTATGTAATTCCAGTTCCAGGAGATCCCACTCTCTCTTCTGACCTCTGCAGGCATTGCATGACACAGGTGCACTTACATGCATGTAGGCAATACACTTATATACATAAACAAATAAAAATAATGAATAAAATATTGGGCTGGAGAGATGGCTCAGCAGTTAAGAACACTGGTTGTTCTTGCAGAGGACCTGGGTTTGAGTCCCAGTACCCACATGGTAGCTAAACAACTGTCTGTAACTCCAGTTCCAGGGGATCTGACACCTTCTTTTGACCTCTGCAGGCATTGCATGACACGGGTGCACTTACATGCTACATTGTAGGCAATAAACTCATACACATAAAATAACAAATGAAATATTTTTAAAAAAATCTCTTCCTTTCAAACTCTTCCCTTGACTTTCCTCTCTCAGATACCCTTCTCTTCCTTTGGCTCTCAGACTATGCCCCCTCCCTCAAGCTCTGGCCTCCTCCCTCAGACCCTGATCTCCTCCCTTATACCCTGGCCTCCTCCCTTAGACCCTGGCCTCCTCCCTCAGGCCCTGGCCTCCTCCCTCAGACCCTGGCCTCCTCCCTCAGACCCTGGCCTCCTCCCTCAGACCCTGGCCTCCTCCTTCAGACCCTGGCCTTCTTCCTCAGGCCCTGGCCTCCTTCCTCAGGCCCTGGCCTCCTTCCTCAGACCCTGGCCTCCTTCCTCAGACCCTGGCCTCCTCCCTCAGACCCTGGCCTCCTCCCTCAGACTCTGGCCTCCTTCCTCAGACCCTGGCCTCCTCCCTAAAGCCCTCACATCCTGCCTTCTTCCTTTAACCTTTCAGGCCTGACTTGCTTCCACTATCTTTTTCCTACAGACCCTTTAGTCCCTTTTCCATCCTCAGAGACTGGAGAACACCAGCAAATGTTGCATCTCCAATCCTTTTGCGGTGCCTCTCTGAGCCCTGTGAAAACTCAGTCTTCTGAAGTCCAGAGATGGTCAAGTCACTATTGTGACTAGCCAGTGGCAGTCAGTGAGGTAGTCACTTCCCCTAAGTCCCATCCCCCCAGTCTCAACTTTTCTTTCCATACAGTGGACAGAGCTCCCTATCCCACCCCCTCCTAAGTTTGATGGTTCCAGAGGGGAGCGCTGGTGGCTCTGAGCAGTCTGGGTCTCTCTGAGGCAATTCTATTGTTGCCTTATAGTGGGCCCATTACACTGGGAGTTAGAGAATGACATCGCACCATTCTGCAAAAAGAGAGTATGGACTTCTCTGAGGTGACTGAGAAGGTGACTGAGGTGACTGAGATTGGAACTCAGGGCCTACACCTCCCAAGCACACACTACCACTAACCTGCTCCCTGTTTTTTTTTTTTTTTTTTTTTTTTCAAAGACAGCATTTTCCTAAGTTCCTCAGGTTGGCCTTGAACTCACTCTGTAGCCCAGGTTGTTCTCAACACTGTGGTCCTTTCTCCTGCCTCAGCCTCCTGCTTAACTGCTATGACAGGCCTGCACCACCATACCTGCCTTGAAGGTGAGATCTGAACCCAGTTTTAAACACTCTCCCTTCTTTTTCCTTAACAGGGCACTGAGGGGAGCATACAAAAAGTACCAAAGGGGCAGGGAAGGGCTGAGGCCTCCCCACACAGCTGCTTCTGGAAGACCACAGGCCAGGTTAACCATCCACATCGAGTAGGGGGCCCAGCCAGCTAAAGTCATTCTTCAGCCCAGGCCTTCATACCCACTTTCAGGATTTCAGAGATGTTAACAAGGACACAAGACATAAGTGGGGAGACAAAACAGGCCAGGGAGGCAGCTGCTGTAACTCCCAGCACTCAAGACGCTGAGCTACGCTGCTAAGTCTGCCGTAAGCTTTTAGTCTAAAAAAAAAAAAAAGGCTGGGGACGTGGCTCTTGGCTGAGCACTTCCCTAGCTCCCTAAATGAGTCAGAGAGGGATGGTGCTCAGCAAAATTCCAATCTACGTCCGAAGACCTGAGGGTCCTCAAGGAAATGCCCTCTGGGGAAGTGGTGAGGCCAAAAGACACTAGGAAAGGATGGACTCACATGCACAGTCAGATGGCGGGTATTGCAAATGCAGATGCAGAGAACACAAGATCCAGAGACAGGAGGCGAGAGACGCAAAGCCACCAGCGCACGCAGAGCAAGGGGGTGGCAGGGTGAGACCCGGGAGCGGCGCATCTGGGAGAATCCTGGGCGACTGGCACTGCCCAGCTGGCAGGAACCCGGAAGTCCCCCCCCCCCCGCGGTCTCCGGACCCACAGGCGGCTCCACCCGCAGCGTCCCCAGCGCTGCCCTGGCCAGGCCAGAGCAGCCACGGCCAGTCCCGGCGTCCTCCGGGTCCGCACCGGCCACTCGCCCAGCGAAGCCGTAGGCAGCGGCAGCCGGGCTCGGCTCCCGGTGCAGGGACAGGACAGGACGCGGTGCCGGGAGCCGGGCAGCGCCACCCACAGCTGGAGGGGACGGAGCATCGCGGCCCCAACCAGGGCTCGGGCCTGGGACTCTGCACGGAGGACTGGGAGCCGCCACCGCCCGCTCCGAGGGACACGGCTTCCCTTCCGGTCCACACTCACCACGTCCGGATCCGCACACCCAGCTGCTCACTAGGGTCTCCACCGAGCTGCACGACACAGGGCGAGAGAGGCCGGGGTACAATCTCCCTGCTTCCAGAAAAAGGACCTACGACGAACAACCCAAGATGGTAGCAGGCTGCAGGTTGGGAGACAAAGGCCCCAGCAGCCAGCGAAAACCCGCCCTGCTCTCCGGCGGTCGGGCTCTTTGCACACGCCTCACCGCGGTGCTTTCATTGGTCAGTGCTTAGTTCTCCCAGGCTCAAGCCCTGAGTGACAGTAGATGGCACCAATCCGTGGGTGGAAGAGCATGCCCGAGCCCCTCTAGAACCGCGCGGGGGGCTCCAGCCGGTAATCCCAGCGATTATGAACTGCAATTTCGGGACTGGAGATGGTTTTTAAAGCAGGGCTTCCTGTTGGGAGAGCCTAGCCCCAACTAAACATTTGCATTCACCCTTGTACATGACCGCTATATCCGCTTATTCACAAATGGGAAGAATGTCAGTTTTTAAATATTTCCTGTAAAATTTTCCAACTATGCTCGTTTGAGGAGGCAGCCTGAGCTTTGAAATGGGAAGCGATTCTCGAAAACCTTAATTTCTAATATAAATAAAATGTGAGGAAAAATTATAAAATTTATTTAACTTTATGTTACTATACAAAGTAATGGGCTTCATTGTGGCATGTATGGTTATAATTTGTCCCACGAACTCCTGTCCACCACTGCCCTCCACCTGTATCCCCTGGCCTCACGTGTTCCTTGCCTTCCTCTTATAGTTGGCCCCTAGATTCCATATCGCGGGGATTCCAAAAGGTCTAAATTTAATATTTGTAATATTCACATAAAAAAGTCAAAACTGGGCCCGGAGAGATGGCTCAGCAGTTAAGACACAAATGCACTGACTTACATGCAGGCAATACACTCATACACATTTTTTAAAAAAATTAAAAATAAAATATTAAAAAAATCAAAAGTGATGAAGCAGATTATAACAACTATATCAAAGACTAATGACATATTTTGCATTTCTCGTGGTGCGAAAAATTTGAAAGCATGTATAGTGCATGCTACATGCATGCAACTTATTTCCATTCCTCAGAATATCTGTAAGCTTTTTATGATTACCAACACAGACAAAATTACTGCGTTTGAAAAATCTTTCTGTGAAAGCAAATGACATTAATGTAGATGTTATGTCTACTGAGAATGCATTTTGTCTTGAAGCAATATATTCAAACAAGGGAGTATGTCTTGTTTGTGTTTGGTTTTGCTTTAGCTAGGCAGTACTGTTTTCTACCACAGACCTGAGATGCTGCAATGAGCAAAGCCGTACAGCACAGAGTCATGTACCCTAGACCCTGGAACTTGTAGTTCTAACCTCTGAATACACATCTGTTGGGAGGACATTTAAAATAATACAGTCTCAAGTTACAATAGGTCAATGAAATCAATATCTCTGTTCTAGGACCCTGATATCAATAGTGTTTAAAGCTCTCCAGGGGAATTCAAGGTGAGGCCAGTTCCAAAGCCACTGCTTTCAAGCATCATCTATGGTGAGCAAGTGGTTTCTTAATATGAGAAATTGTTTCTGCATTGTGATACTTCAGTTATACCTGTGTTATCTAATTACTTCCGTTTGCTCAACTCAACCTCTATTCATTTGTTCTGAATGAACCCACTTCTGTAAGTCCTGAACGATGTGCAGGGAACTATGCAAAGTGTCATATTCTTTTGGTACAAAAAGAAAAATTTGTCCCAAAAAAATGATTCAGATCAAAAGTGGCAGATCTAGTGCTCACTCAAATTTATGACATTAAAATTTACCCTCAAATTAATATTTATCATATGAAGATGTACGTTAACATGTCACACTTTTTATTTATTTATGTATTTTGGGGGTTTTGTGACAAGATTTCATTATGTAGCTCAAGCTGGCCTTTAGTTTGCAGTATGGCCTAGGTAGGTCTTCAATTCACAATGTGCCTGCCTCTGCCTCTGAGTGTGGTGAATGCAGACTTACATGGATCACCACCCCCGCTAATTTTCTCCACTTTAAAAAAAAACAGAATTTACTGTTATTCTGAGATACTGAGATATTCGAATATTTAATATTTTCATCATCTCCAGAATATTCTCTTGTGCTCCTTCCCAGTCAAATTTTCCCTTGTCACATGGCTCTTGTGATTTCTTTTTGTTTGTGATTTGTTGTTTCTGAGGCAGGGTTTTATGCAACCCTGAATGTACTCTCTGGGCCTGGCCTGATCCTTCTGCCGCTACTTCCCAAGTGTGGGGATAACAGGTGTGTACCATCACAGGTGAGTCTCATATTTTTTAAATCAGGTACGTTGAATTTGAACTGATATAATATGTATTACTGTTAGCCGGCATCGTCACTCTGTAGGATTCACACAGTGTGTGCCTCACTTAGTACTGCTGTGTTCTGTTGTATGAATGCATTGTGGTGTGTTCACCTCTGTGACACTGATGGACATTTGGATTATTTCCTGGTTTTCATCATTGTGTTCAGTATCTATCAACATTCTTTTTAAATTTTATTTGTGTGTGTGCGTGTGTGTGTGTGTGTGTATGTGTACATAGTGCAGGTGCCCTCAGAGGCCTGACAAGGGCATTAAGATCGCTTGGAGCTGGAGCTGCCTGACAGGGTGCTAGGATCTGAACTTGAGCGTTCATGATGGAGTAGCAAGCACTCTGAGCCATCTATCCAGCCCCTATCAACGTTCCTTTACAGATTTCTTATATTGAATTTTGGGATTTTTGTTGTTGTGTTGTTGAGACCATCTTGAACTCTGTATGAAGCTGAGGCTGGCCTTAAACTCCTGATTCTCCTGCTTCCACCTCCTGAATGTTGGGATTCCAGGCATTCACCACCTTGCCTGATTTGAGTTTCATTCTTTTATTAGCATATGCCAACTCTTTACATTTTTGAGATTACTATAGGGAATCTAATGGGCATCTCTGACCCAGCACACTTTACCTAACTGGAGTTAATATTGTGGTATTTTATTTATTTTAAATTTTAATATTTTATTATTTTTATTTTATGTGTATGAGTGTTTTGCCTGCATGTGTGTAAGTGCACCCATGTCATGTGATGCCCATGGAGGTCAGAAGAGGGTGTCAGATCCTCTGGAACTGGAGTTAAAGAGAATTGTTAGCCACCAAGTGGATTCTGGGAACCACACAAGGATCCTTTGCAAGAGCAGCCAGTCCTCTTAAACTCTGAGCCATCTCTCCAGCCACCAATGAATAGAAAATGTTAAAATATTAATAAAATGGTTCCATTTATCTTCTTTCTATTCTTTTTATTATGGGCATTTTACATCTGTACTTTATAAATGCCCAAATATAGTATTTGCTCAGAGTAGTCATTGGCTATAATGGCTGACCAGGGATCCTTCTGTCTCCTCCTTCCCAGTGCTGAGATTATAGGCGTGCACACACACACACACACACACACACACACACACACACCACATTTAGCTTTTTTATGTGAATTCTGAAGGATCAAACTCAGGTCCTTAGGCTTGTGGGGCAAGCACTTTACAAACTGAGGCATCTTATTCTGCAGCTTAGGGTGACCTGAAACTTAGTCTGTAGCCCAGGTTTTGAACTTTCAGCAATCCCAATCCACTTGTCTCAGTTTACCAAGTATTGGGCTTACAGGCATTTTTTTCATATAATTTCTACCTTTGTTTTTTAATTTTATTGAATTTTTGTGTATTTGTATATTTATACCCCCCCTTCCCCTTTGGCACCCTTCCATAGCCCCCACTGTATTAAGGCCTATTATGTAAGGTTAGTGTCCCAAGATCTCCCTCAGTGCTAGTTCATCCACCAGGGTTTAGTTGGCCCACCTAGAGGCTCTCTCTTTAAGAAGATCAGCTCTTCCCCACCCAGTAGTAATGACTTGCCAATAATTCTTCAACTAAGATTGGGGCTTGCTGCTCATTTCCACAGTTCTGTGCTGGATTTTTGTCTGCCTAAGTTTGCATGAGTCTTGTGCATACTGACACCATTGCTGTAGGTTTGTATGAGAAGGGTCCCAGGTACCTGTAGGGCTATTTCCATGTGACCACGCACTTCCTCCCTGGTTCTTACAATATTTCTGCCCCCTCTTCTGCAATTGTCCCTGAGCCCTGGGTGGGTGGACCTCACTATAGGAGACCTGTCCAAGGACCGGTCTCTGCTGACTCTTATTCTCTGCATTTTGGCCATTTGTGGTCTTTTGTGTTCCTGGCACTCTGTTGCATGAGGGAGCTTCATTGATGAGAATTTAAAGATGCATTAGTGCTCCCTTTATCCCTTGTTCTATGTTCTGTGAGTCTTAGGTGTAGAGGCTGCATCCTAGATGTGCCACTTAGGCTTGGGCAATTCACAGAGCATCTCTGTGTTTGAACAGTGGTGTAACTCTATAATAATATGTCTGTTGAAAAAGAAGCTACTTTGATGGCTGTTGATTGGGGTACTTGTCTGTAAAATTAAGGGTCCGTATTTTGTACATAGTAAGAAATTACAGGAGATCCTAGCAGACAGTCTGATAGGGTGGGCTCTGACCTCCAGCGGTGTAGTGGCTGTGATCTCAGCAC